ATATTATTATGAATATATCTAGATATTATTATGGATAATGTCTGTATTATTATTTTATGCTGAGCAATGTGTTTATTAATATTCAACAGTAGGTGAATGTTCAAAAATATAAATAAGGTTTAAAATAATTGTCTATAAAGGAATCTTCCTTTTGGATGTTTGTGTGCAAGGTAAATGAAAAGCCTAGTAATCTGAGGAATCATTCTAAACAATAATTGTTGGACGAGAATAAGCAGCAACTAGGTGTACATCTCCTGAAAAGACAAAATCGCTAATGATGTGCAAGTGTAGGGGCTTGTGATCGATTCCCTGAAGCCATGCTCTGTAATAATGCTGCTTAGTGTTTGCCTGAAACTGCACCTGTCCTCTGAAGGCTGGAAAGTGTATGATATCATAATATCCACTGCATATGGTGCTCCATGACCCTAAATGTTATGACATCTTCAAAACTGTTCAGTGAGTTAGGAACTACTGACCTCCAGTTTAGTTCATAAGTTTTATCTATCCCAATTTTTCCCGATACATTTATTGACATAGTTACTGTTGTAGCACCTTGTAACCTAAAAAGCCCGAGTCTCACCCTGAAAAGGAGCACAGCAGCATTTCTTACACTACCATTTAATTCCTTGAAAGTTAGGCACCTCCTAATGTGCCATCTTTTGTTTATTTCTACTAAGAATGGTTAAAATGGATAGATAATAATTGGCTTTCAGAAGAATTGTGTTTTGTAAAAGATTATTGAATTCTAAGTCTCAATTCCTGCATTATAAGCTTGACTCATAATTTCTCTCAGCCCAGATATTATCTGACAAAGACAGACATAAATCTTGACCTATACCTCTACCTATAGCTATTTTTCCACTTACTGGGAAGTTCCATAACCTGACCAATCACGACTGTAGCAGAGATGCACATGGCAAAGCTGAGAAGGCTGCTGTAGTCACCGTGTACTCCCCAGTCACGGACCCGTTAGATCTGTCTCGTCAAAAGCAGATCAGGCAGTTGCCACAGGCAGCAGCATGACTATGGCTCTGAGGCCTTATTTACCTGCAGCAGGCCCCCCGAATGCCAGTACGTTGCTGCTTGTCTTGCCTCAGTAGAGAAATCAGCGGGACCATGCCAATAGCGAAAATTGCTGCCCCTGCCTCTCCTGTTTGCCCACTGACAGCCAGAGCGGCAAAGCTGACCACTTCAGGCTTTTCCCTTGCTCTGCAGCCCAGCTCTGGCCTGTCTCTCATAGCTCTCCATTAAATAGTCCAACTTGTCAGCCTTAGCAATACTCAGATTTGCCTATCCTGTAAATTTAAGTTGGGTCTGCATTTTTAGGTAAGTTAGAGCTGTACCTAGAGTTCACATACCCAAATTCACTGTACCACGAGTTGGGAATCTAGGGCATAAAACCTTTCTGTCTGTGCCTTCCTTCCCCATATACCCTCTAAAATGAAATTTGCAAAACGGGCAGGCACTAAGTTCCAAGATTGCAGTCTCTGTGTCTGCAGTACCCTCAGGGAGCTGGTTAAGCAGTCTTGCCAGACACTCTGTGCTAGGTTGACCAGGGAATTAAAATACTAAATTGATATGCTACTCTTTTTCCAGTAACAGAATTTTTTAAGTCATACCTACTGAAGGCTAGTCAGTTTACAACTCAGTTTCCCCAAGTCACACAACACAAGATCTTGCCATTTATGATAATACCATGCTCTTGGATAGACGGCCATGTTCTTTGTAACGCAAATTCTTTATGGTCCATAGAGTAACTGAGCAAATCATCCAAGCATAGATGTATTTGACATGTATTTTTCCAGTTCCATTTTCCTTAAGAAACAAATGAATGTGTGATACCAACGTGGTATCAATACACTACTGAAAACCAGAATTGTTTACATGAATTTATTTCCAAGATCGAATTTCAGTTTTCTACTTCCAGTACTGTTCTTGAATGCCTTTTGTTACAAAGCAATGTATTTTCTATCTCACTTTGTGTTTTTAGGCCTTCATCATCATAACACCTGAACAGGCAAGACACTTCTCTTTTGATTTGCTTCAAGTGTGCTGTATTTAGTATCAGCAACAAACAATTCAGCAATCTTTGCAAAAATTGAAAGCCCTGATGCAAAACACATGAAATGACTGGGCTGTTCTGTGATCATTTATCTTAGTTTCTTTGTTCTTTTTTTTTTTCATGGTATATGCCATGTGTTCACAGCCAATAAGCCAGTCGTATTAGAGGAAATGCTCCACAACTTGGATTTCTGTGATATTTTGGTCATTGGTGCAGAACTAGATCCCGAGCAAGAGTGTTTAGAACTAGATCACATGGAGCTTCAAGGAAAACATCTAGATGCCACAAATTCCACAGCAGGCTATTCAATCTATGGTACGTTCATTCACTTTGCTTTCTTTTATTTCTTCCCACCAACAATCACATTATTGGAATGAAAGGACTAATGTGAAAGAAATTAGGCAGACATATGTGATGTACTAGCTCTAAAGTACTCCAGGAAAGACTGAGTCTCAAAAAGCATAGTCACTTCTTGATCTCTGGGTATGCTGTGTTTATCCTTTGGAATACAGCACAGCTTTGTCTTGATCTCAGCAACCCTCCTGCTACTCCCCAAATAAGAACAATAGCAACAGTGCTTTCTTTAAATGTGGGGGTTCTTATGGACCATCACAGTGGAATGTGGGAATGGGGATTCCTCAGTGCTCCTGCACAGTGCTGGTGACTCATTGCCCTTTTTTTGATTACTAAATAATTTAGTCTAAATCTTTGCTGTTGTATTTGTTCCTCCCCATTACGGAGCTACATTCATTTCCAAAAACTATTCTCACATAATTTAGTATCAGCTAGAGGCTCTATCAGGGCAATTTTGATCCACTGCCATTTTCAGATTGTTCTGCCAAATTTTGTATTTTCCATGAACATTTGATTTCTCCTGTACCGAACAGAGCATTTGTTTCACAGCATCTCCTTGAGATTATTACTGCTCTACCACCATTTCAGGTGTGGACAGCATGCACAACTATGAACAGGTTCTTCGGCAGGTTCGATATCGTAACTGGTACACTTCTACCACCTTTGACAGAAAGTTCAGAGTCAAGTGCTCAGAGCTAAATGGACGTTACACTAGCAATGAATTTAACTTGGAGGTAAGCAATCATTTAGTCAAATTTTCTTTTCTGGCACTGAGGCTGAGCACTAGCCTTATCTTCAGCAACATTTTGAGTTTTCGTTAAAATAAGTAAAATGATTGACAAGTCCTGGTAACTATAATCAAATAGAGGAAAAATTCTAAGTTCCATTCAAATACGAAGTTGACTTCTCCTGTGGTCATTCCTCAATGTGGCGGTCTCTATTCTGCTGCCTATGTAAGGAGATGACCCTTCTCTTCAACTCCACTAACACAGAGAATAATGCCTGTTCAAACAGAACAGAGGCGAAGGTCATCATCTTTGTTTTTCCATGATGTAAAATCTCCTTCAGGTCTTTCTGAAGATTTATACATCTGCTTGAAAGTAAATCATTACAGCCTCATTATTTTCCTTAGATTAGTTTGTTCTTGTGTTTGTTTTTTTTTTACTTGACCTAGCATACTTTTCTTTCCTGCAGCATTCATCTTTTCAGTTTTTCAAAGCACTACCCCCTTACAATAAGTTTTATAATTTGTTCTTCATCAGATGGAAATAATTCCTGGTAATTTACATTATTTCCGATTTCTTTGAGGAGGAAAGTCAGTATACAGGTAACGAACGCATAGGATGGACTTCATCTGTCATATTCTCCTGGATCCACTACCCAGACATAGTCAGTTACCACAGGAATATTTAGATAGCTCTTTTGAGCTTAGGAATGCTGGTACTAAGTCCAGTGCAGCACAATGGCTCAGGGACTGAGAATTACTGCTGATGCACCTCAGCAAGAATCATTGACCTATTCTCAAGAACCAACATGTCCAGCCTGGAACCCAGGTACCAAGTAACTACAGGAAAGGACAGGACCTTCTTAGCAATAGGCTCAAAACTTAATTAATTGCTTCTGAAAGTTTTTACATGTTTACGTTGTGTTGAAAATTCTTTTCACCTTAGCATTCTTCAGCCCTGACAATGACTTGAGAGGTTTTGCTTATAACATAACTACCAGTAGGACAGAGAACTGATAGAGTATCTTCAAAGAAAGTCACTCTGAAAGTAGGGACATAGGAAAAACTGAAATCTCTTTTAATTCTCTCTTGGTGTTTCGGTTTTAAACTCAACAAGTTTGATACATTCTCTGTCAATGTTCAGAGTGACAAATCTCCCAATAACTTTCAGGGAACACCTAAAAGCTGATTAGTATAGGGGAAAAAAAAGTCACTACTAATCCAGATAGGTAAATCAAAAAAAATCTTTTTCTCTGCCACTTCATAGTCTACAGCTAGAAATGTTAGAATGCATTTTTAATGCTAGAAATGAGAAATATTTTAACCTGTGTATTTTTCACTGCCATAAAAAAGTAGATTTGGCCTTTAAGATCTATATAATAATGTTCCTATCTGCTGGTGAAATTCATAGTTCACTGTAGTGTATGGAGCCAGCAGGCTTGGAATATGAGGCACTTTTTAGCATCTGATCTCTTATTTTTCTCTTGTGTCAGGTTAATATCGTACACAGCTCCAACTCCAACTTCATGGACCATGTAAATCATATGATAGTACAACCACAATTTCTCCAATCTGTCCACCACCCAGAGGGAAGCATAAGTGCTGTTCACAACTCAGGTATGTGACAACTTTACAGAAGTGCTCATAATGATTCTGGTATGTTGGTATTTCCCTTGTGATTCAGCCTGGTCAACAAATAAAGCTGTGAAGTCAGTAGTTACAGCTTGTGAAACCTCACAGAGATCATTGCACAGGTATGAAAGAAGGTAACACTGAATTCTATTCTTTCTTTCCAAGAAGGTACTTTGTAATTAAATACTGGTATCGTTTTTTAAAGTCTTGATTAGTTATGTACTCTGACCCACATAGTTAAGAAAATGTCTTGTTTCTAGTATCAGATCACATGAAGGATAGTATTTATGCTCATGTCATCTTTGTACATCTGTATTTCTATGGCATATTAATTTCTGCTGACCTCTTTCTAAGCAAAAGGAAGAAATGTTTGTATTATTTTTTAAATGTATAATTGCTGCAATGCTTCTTTTAGCTGCTATCCAGGCCTCAGTCTGGAGCTCTCTGGAGAGAAGATATGTCCACCTAGCCATGTGCAAGGGGCATCAGTATATATTAAATACAGAATTTAAACTGAATTTTTAGACTGTATGAGTTAAAATATATACCTAAATCTGAAGTCTTTTCAATGAAGTTAAACCCAGGGCAAAGATATCTGTTTAAATGCTGGATTCTGAAATCCTTTTAGCTGAATGATACGTATGTAAAGAAGTAAAGCTGATGTAAAGTGTAGGTAGTTATAAGTAGTTATATACAGTTATGCTTAGAAAACGGCTGTATTTTTCTGTACACTTGTACAGACATATTACTAAAATGAAACTGAATTTTTACAAAATGAACTATTGCAAACTAGTTCGTTCTTCTTTAATACTGTTCTGATTTCAGAGTTCTACTCTTACATGCAGGGCAAGGTGGTAAAATGGGGTACAGAACTACTATAGCTCTGGCAACTGCACTACCTAGGTAGCAAAGGTACATAGAAAGTGGCAGCACTTCTGCACTACCTAATTATGGAACTGATAATGTAAGAGTAGTTCAGAGAGATTTCTTCCTGTGCCTAGGTGGAGACAGAGGCTTGTCAGAGTGCAACAGAACAGTGAGGAAAAGTGTCTTAAATCCTCAAGAGTCTCCCAGGAAGGTTGTAACACAGGCAAATAGAGTGGCAATGTGTTATTTTATTTCTTGGAGATTGACATTTAAGTCACAGTACAAGTGTTCGAAACCTTTGAAAAATACTTTTTCTCACAAGTGAGGTTAATGCCTCAGCTGTACTCAGAAGGGGACAATAAGCAGGTAAGATAACTGAACCTTATTGCAAAAACACTTGTTCTGAAACTAATTGATTCTGCACTGCTTACTTGTCTTCTGTAAAGTGGCTTAAAAACCAAATGGTAGACATACTCACTTTTTAGTTATGATTTAGGATACTAATTAGACGATATCGGTAAACATCATTCGTGTATGCTCTGCCTTAGTAAGTGGGCAATTGTCAACACTTTCTGTAGTCCCAGACATATGGCAGACGGCTGTGCTGTTTCTCAGTCCAAAGGCAGAGGTGCTGAGGGGAAAAAATAGACAATGTATTTAGTGTTTTGTAGGCCATTTGTTCTACAAATACAAGCCCATTCCCTTTTCCACCTTTTGTTCCAGTTGTTCCAAGTGTGGCTACTATCGTTATCATAACCTGTGTGAGCATACTCATTTTCATCATAACCTTGGGGGTCTACCGAATTCGGACAGCTCATCAGCACAGCTCTGCAGACAACGAAGGAAGTAAAGAAAATGAAATGGACTGGGATGATTCTGCTCTGACTATTACTGTCAACCCCATGGAGGTACATAACTCAGGCATAGTGTTATATCATGATACTACCAGGAGTTACTGTCTGGGCTGCTAGCTTACTCAGCAGTGCATTTTAAGACTCTTTTCAGAGTATACTTGTTTAGGCTTGGTAGAACAGTTGTATGTGCATACACTCAGGACCCCATCCCAGTTTTCAGCTCTGCACACCATGATAATATATAAATGAGCCCTTAATATTTGTTGTCATATATAATTACTAAATAGGATGGTGAAGAATTCTTGGGTACACCACTTCCTCTCCGTCCATATTTGCACTCTAGGCACCCAAGATGATACAGTTACTTTGTTTTTAACTTTTTAATATAAGCAGGAATACACTAAAAGGAGGGGGAATGATCAGCAGTTCACAGAAACTGACACCAAAGCATTAAATTTTGGCAGCTTAACTAACAAAGATATTGCTTAATTGGCTTTCCATCCATACTGTTACAGTAGGTTTTGAATGTTTACTACTGAATTGTATCATACTTGATACCTAATAGTCACATAATGATGGAAAGCAGATTTTCCCAACGTGTTAGCATTTCTAAATGTGGAATAAATGCTCACATTCTCACGGCCGCTGGTTAGCAAGAAGGCACTTCTCTTCTACTGTGTCTCTTTCCTTTCTTTAAATGTACTGTAGAAATATGAAAAGCCTCACCAGACAGAAGAGGAGAGTGAGGAAGAAGAGATAGATGATGAAGAAGATGACACAACCAGTGCTGAATCAGATGAAAGTGAAGAGGAAGAGGAGGAGGAGGAGGAGGAGGAAGAGGAAGTGATTGTCCAAAAGGGAGACAAACAGAATGCCACCAGGCAAGAGCAGTTGGAGTGGGATGATTCAACACTCCCGTACTAACAAACAGTCCTCCAGCCACATTGCTCTTTTGTAACAACCAATACAATGTTTTTTCAGAGTCTATGAATTCATTGACAGGATTTGAACTTCTACTTGCCTATAACTGTTTTGCCTAAAATGATCTTGTTGTAGTAATCGATAATGATAAAACTGACCCTTTTCTTGCAAAGTCCGGAGAAAACATGGTACAACTATACTGGCATCACCAGTAATGAAGTAATATCTAGAACTTGATCTATCAGCAAGCGTAGTTCTCAATTTCCTGTTTCTGTACCGCAGACATGTGACAAAAGTCCTGTCACTCAATCCATAGAGGTTTTTGCCTTTGCTATTTTTTCATACAGGAGAGATTTCAGCTTGTTATGAAGAATTACTTGTGTGGGTCCAAATAACAACAGTCGCCATTTGACTTCACACTCTTACAGGTGTAAAATATAATCCCTCTTCAAATTGGGGCAGAGTTTTAGTGGTACAGGTGACACAGAGTGAATTCCATTTGTCATCTCGTCCTGCCTTCTTGGATGTTAACTAACTGTCTTCTACAAGGGAATATCTAGGACTTGACATGGGATGCATTTGTGCCTATGTAGAAGTGGACAGTGTATTTTTTTCAGGCATGCTGTCAGAACCCTCAAGACAGAGATTTTATCCAACCCACCCATAAAACTTAAGAGTGTTTAAAAAAAACAGCAACAAGAAGGGGCTGCTGAAGGTTACAAAATAATAAAAAAAAATCATTCTTTGTCCACAGGTTGAGTAATACGATCTTATGCAAACTGTAAATTCTAATGGGATTGATTTACTGAAAACCTGTAGAGCTGCTCATTAGTTATGGACTGAGCAATTTGCAGCAAATCGATGCTTTAAACCATCTGTCTTGTAAAATCATTAGCTTGCTGCAACAATATCTTACTGAAAGAGTGGAAAATAAGTGACCCCCCCCATTATTCCATAGTGTATGGCTGGGATTTTAACAATGATTTCACATGATGAAAATGTTCCCTTTTGCTTTAGTGAATACCAGCTGGAATTCCCGTCTGACCACATTCCATAAAACATTATGCCCTATTTCTTCTGTTCGCTCACCCACCTGTGAGTGGCACAAGAGAAAGCAACAACACCGTACACAACTGTCAGCTCTCTTTTGGGCTCATAATTCTCTTATTTCTTCTTTCTAAAGCCATTAATGTTGAGAAAAGGTTTTATAAAGTAAAGCTGAACAAGAACAAATAAAACCTACCTGGAACCAAAAGAAGTGAAAACAAAAACTAAACTCTTAAGAGATTGAGAGAGTATTTTAGTTTGTTATGGTAACACAGCATATTTTTATTAAACACTGTTTAAAAATGAAAAAAAAAAAAAAAGCAAAGCTACATACGATGTGTTGATAAATGAGTCTGTGTGGTGTGATTTTTGTTCCCTTTCCTTAATTATCTTTGCATCTTCAAATGCTCTGCATACCAAGTGATGCAGCACTTGCTAGGATAACTGCTCTAATGCATAAAAAACCAAAATGGCATGGAAGTGAATGCTGCCTAGTGGCTTGTCTGTTTTTTTTCCTAAGTAATTCCTTTTCTTTACAATTTCATCATTGACTTTTGCTTTTGTAATTTTCTGTTTAAAATGAGCTGCTTCCTCTTCTCTCTCCCAAAGAAACAAGCAGTCAGTCTTACCACAACAGGACCTTCCTGAGCACCCATGAATGGTAGTTGATATCACAAGGAGTATCTTGAGCAATCTTGAGGGTATCCACTTCCCTCAATACTAAATTATTAACAGCTCCTGAATGTCCTGGAATATAGAGAATATATTGTGAGTTTGTGGGTTCTTTTGATTCTAGTTTCTGCATCTGATAGAGTGGCAGGAAAAGACTGACAGTGATTAGACATTGTAGTTTAATAACTAGAAAGTAAATGAAAAGAACTCTGAATTCATTTTAAAATTCAAGATCTTCATGCTCCTTTTTGTTGTGCCAACAATCATGTTGTCACGTGATTGTTAAGACTGGCAATATAGAAGTTTTCTTATGTGAGCAGTCCTGTTTTATTTTCATTCTGGTCTCTCACATGTCTAAAACTTAGAAGAATATTTGCAGAATCAAGCCCACATAAACAGAATTTATCTGCAGGAATAAACACTTTTAAATTGGCCAAAATTTCTGTTTAAGAAAACATTAGTTTTAAAATCTCTGAATAGCTTGAACAGAAAATTTATGTTAGATCATTTCCTAGTATCCTAAATAATTTCCTAGTGTTAATTTTTGTTAGTGACATGAAGCAGGCTCTTCATGATGCTTATTATCAGCACTTATCACAAAGCTTTCTGCTCAGAAAAAAAGAAGATTTAAAATTGAAAGTAGATATTTAAAAGAAGTCAATTTCAGATTTAAAACTGGACTTAAATTATTTTTAAATTTTCTGTTGTTCCTCATTATCATTGTTATCACAGCAAACATTAGGGCAAGTGGAAAACAGTAATTTACCACCTTACTGACAACCTTTAATTCTTTTATATGTTCATGTCTTCATCAGAGTGTTTCTTCATCTAACAGAGTTTTATTTTTTTGTTACTGGAAGCAAATCTTTTCAGGTCACGCCAATACATTACACAAGAGGCAAAGTATTTACTGTAAATAAATCTACATTTTTAAACCTAAGCAAAGTAAACAGGCATGTGTGTTATCACTAAAATTTAGTTTGCAACAAGATATTAATCAAATTGTATCACTGTATTTATTTTAGATTCCTCACTGGCATGTGTTAAGCAGCATTTTTCATTCAAATAAACAGAAAAAGCCTTTTCACAAAATGTTAGGGAGAATGAGATACTTCTCCACAAAATGAACCTTAATATTATAATAGTTGTATAGAAGTTGGCAGCAACAGCTTCATGAGCAGAAGCCTACTAGTAGAACAACATAGAAACATCACTTTTTTCTGAAATAATTTTAACAATATTTCCTGCCTTCCATGAATTATTTTTTGATGTAAACTACTTGCTTAAAAACCAAACCAGAACATATACATTTATGCATGCATACACATACCCACACACA